GAAAGAATTGGAGAAGTCTGTAATCTGTCTTTTCTGAAAACTTCACTTTCACTATTGGTTCAAAAGATTAAATGGCATATTTTAGTGTCCTGGTTAGTAGATTAAATTCTGGAAAGTATATTATAACCTAGTCAGGTGATACCTGGACCTTAGAGTGTGAAAAAGCACAGTTTCTTCAGCATTGGATAACAACTTGATCTTTCAATTAGGGGCATGTATTTCAAGTAGTGAAAGACTGTGCTGACAAAGGAGCCACGAAGACTATTGTTTGTAATATGTTACTACCAGCATTAATACCTAAAGCTAAATTTAGTAAGTGATAATTTGAAAGTGGAGCAAGTCAACTGAGATTGGTGGTGGTAGTGTATGTGATAGCACTTCGAGCTTACCTGCATAATAAGGGAAGAAGTACAGTCTTTATTTGTATTATAATAACATAGAGCTACAATAAAGATGAGAATATTGGTTTTAGGTCTTAGGTTTTCTGTTGCATCCATTGACTGATGTATGGCTGTAAAACTGCAATTTGTTGAGAGGTATGTCGGAATAAGTGTGAGTTTGCTTTGTAGTACTGAAACAAAGGTATAAATCATTTAAGTCCTGTGACCACCAGCAGGCAAGCAGATTAATTTTATTCTTTTCCTGCTATTGATTTACTTTGATCCCAGAAGTTTAGATTAACTAGATGAATGCTGCTGTCAATTACAGTTGTCATATTGTTGAGATATTAGCATTTGGTATTTTTGAGTTCTTGTGAGCATCAGCAGACAAATGTCCCTTATTGTGGCTGCCCTTAAAGAGGAAGGCAGTAATCTAGAGTTTTCACTAAAACGTCTCCAACTGCCATAGGCTCCTTCCACTAAATCTAAATTTTTGGAGAACAAGCACAATATTCTTGTGTCCTCAATTTGTAGTAGATCACTTGATTACTATATTCCAGTTTTATTGCCGTTAGGAACTAAGGAATTGGTTACTATATCAGTTTTTGTACTAGCCTTGTTTTGCAGAGGTTAACTACCAGTGTGAAGTATTTTTATTCCTAACTTTTGCAGTTGATGGCAGAGGTATGGTTAGCATTATCTACCTTTGGGAGGTGCAGAAGTCTGCCTATATCTTTAAGACAAAAGACTTAACTGGCTTTTTGGAAATGCATAGACTATGTAAATGAATGTAATCAACAGTCTAAAATTGTTCTATTTTTCTTGGAAGAGTAAAAACTGGTCTAAGCTTATTTCATAAATGCTTTTTGATCATCTGTTTTGAGGGCCCGTTGTACACATGTTGTTGCCAGTTAATATTCAGTATTGGGCTTAATATGCAATTTAAGCAGAGTTAAAGATCTCATTATGGAAACTTCTCCTAAAGATATAAAATTCAGTTTTAAAGTGACTGTTGCCCGTACTTGAGTGATTTTGTTTTGTTTAACAAATGTGTTGTGAAAGTATGACCTGCTAATAATGGGATTAGCATCAAAATGATGCATCTCTGTGCCTGGGAAGATCATGGAACAGATCCTCTTAGAAGCTATGCTAAGGCACATGGAGGACAGGGAGGTGCTTTGAGTCAGCCAGCACGGCTTCACCAAGGGCAAGTCCTGCCTGACCAACCTAGTGGCCTTCTATGATGGAGTGACTGCATCAGTGGACAAGGCAAGAGCTATGGATTTCATCTGTCTGGACTTCTGCAAGGCCTTTGACACGGTCCCCCACAACATCCTCCTCTCTAAATTGGAAGGATATGGATTTGATGGGCAGACTGTTCGGTGGATAAGGCATTGGCTGGATGATTGCATCCAGAGGGTAGTGGTCAATGACTCGACGTCCAGATGGAGAACAGTGACGAGTGGTGTCCCTCAGGGGTCCGTACTGGGGCCAGTGCTGTTCAATATCTTCATCAATGACATAGCGGGATCGAGTGCACCCTCAGCAAGTCTGCAGATGAC